AAACTACTTAAATGTGATATGGAAGCTGTATTGAAGAAATGATAAAACTTCAAAGCAGAGTATTTTACTCATTTTACTGCAACTCTTGGCATGGCTGCTTAATACCACCATGTAGCACAATAGAAATAAAGGAAATCAAATGCCTCAAAAAAGTCCGTTTAATATTCTTTTTTTGTTTGTTTTGTTTTTTGAAACAGGGTCTCATTACATAGCTGAGTCTGACCTGGAACTCACTATATAGCCCAGGCTGGTCTCAAACTCACAGCAATCCTCCTGCCTTAGCCTCCCGAGTTCTGGGATTACAGGCGTGTGCCACCAGCCTGGCTTGTATAATATTCGTTTAATATCATAGAATAACCAAAAATGCAGCCATTTCTAAATTATTTCATGTATGGTAGAATTAACTGCACTATACCCTTGTTTATTTTATGCATTTTCTTAATTTGTCCTGCCTGCTATAACAGAATACTGCCACAGACAACATTACTTCTAAACAATAAAAATGCATTTCTCATAGTTCTGGATGCTAAGATGTACCAGATCAATGTGCTGACAGGTGCAAAGTTTGGTGGCTAGACTCTTGCTGATTCATACATGGTAATCCTCTCAGCGACTCCTCACATGGTGGAGAAAGAGCTTTCCCAGAGGCTGTTTATTAAGAGTACTCATATTACTCTGAGGACTCTGCTTCTTGACCCTGTCCCCTTCCAAAAGGCCCACTTTCTAGTGACTTTCTATTGGGCATAAAATTTTCAACACAGGAATTTAAAGAGTGCAAAACTTTTGGCAATTAGCATGCATTTTAGTAGGCCTCGGTTTTCAAAATTCATTTTTCTGTAGACAATTTCAGAATATAGCAGAACTCATTTCTAGATAAAGTAAACCCATGTTGAGTCTATACTTGATACCTAATATTCTTAGTCCATCTAAAATTAAGGCATGGTAATAATGTCATCTTCTCTGAATTTATCTTGGCTGCTAAATTCTTAAAGAAAATATTATAGAATACTTCACACTTGCTATAATTCACATTTATGCATAACAATCAGTATGTAAAATATTAAAGTTTTTAATTGCAAAAAATAAAAATCATTCAGACTTTATATAAAATGGCAATATTAAAATTAGAAATAAATGGTGAATGTGCAGCAAATGATAACACTTGCTTTAATTACCACTGAAAATTGTGATATTATTCAAAAAAGTGTTAATCCCAAGGCAGTTCCCATTTCAACAGCTGATGTCTGTCCTGGACATTAAAAGATCTGTTAACACCAGGGTGCACAGCAGTGACTACCACCTCTGCTATGATCTCCTATCAAGGTTTCTCTTGAGAGCAGCAGATGTTGAGAACAGAGCTCTAGCCAAATGTGCACATGTTGATTTCAACATTTTCCAAATAAAATTGTCCTGGTGTCTTGTTGGCAGACAGAACAAATGTTTTGGAAAAGCCAATCCACTCGAGTAAGTCACGTACCAGATTAAGGGTGAGGTTCTAATAATAAAATTTCTTAATTTTTTTGCTTCAAGAAACATATAAAGTGGTTTTTTTTTATTTACCAAATTTTCAAGGACTTTATTGGCTTTTGGATTTTCCTAGAAGTAGTTTAGATTTTTTTCTTTCAGATATAAATGAATCCAGAAATATCTTCCCATTTTCAGTTCCAAAGTTATTTTATAAAATCCTCACTTTTACTATCTATTATGGGTAGAAATCTGAATATATGTGCCTGTTTTCTGGGTTTCTATTCAGGTCAGTGATAAAGAAAGTGTATTTCTGTATTCACTGTTCCAAAGTCATCTTTTAATCGATGTTTTGTAAATGATGGCCATTGAGTTTCTAAAAGGCACTCATTTTTAGAGGCAACAGAAGGAAATAAAATTGCCAACACCTTGATCTTGTTTGTCAAGCTCCCAGACATTTGAGAAAACAGAATTCTGTTGTTTATATCATCAGGTCTGAGGCATTCTTATGGAACACTAGCAAATTAATAAACTATCCTTAGAAAGGTCTGCTGGCAAAGGAGGCGACTGATTTATGTCCAAGAACTTGACTGATATCTATTGTTCTACATTTAACGCTTTCCATAAATGGCCAAAGTGACTCATTTGTCTCTAAACTGTTTGTACAGAACTCATGTTGAACATCTGAATATAGGTATCCTTCTTCCACTGTTCTATGAGTTTGTCCAAAATGGACGAGGGAAATAGAAGGGACATCTTAATCTTAGTAACTTAATCATTTCCAGAAGGAAAATGGAAAATCAAGTTCTTCAAATACTTAACAATGCCTCACTTTTACAGGCTTTGCTAGCCCAATACCAGAGTGGATGGTGCAAGGTCTGACTTCTGCAATCACACAGGGAATGAGAAAAAAATATAACCCATGTTTTTCTACTTGCCATGTCAGTGAAATATTATAATTTTAAATGAAGTTTTAGACCTGTAGAAATTATATTATCAGTTTATTCCTAAATTTAAAAATAGAAAACATCTTTTTTCTATGGCTTCAATACTTCTCAATAGTATTTTGAAATTATAATGCATTGTACTGCTAAGGTACTACTCAAAATAGTTTCCTTTTATTTTGGGACAAGATAGTATATGAATATTCTATTCATTATTTACAGAATAAAATATAATCTGAAGATAAAAGAAAAAATTGCTGGAGCTCTTACTTTGCAAATTTAAATTTCAGATATTTTAAGTACTGTTGGGATGATTTTATAGATTATAGTAATTTTGGAGAAAAATACAAATCATATTCTTTTGACAAAAGCAGTAATTTAAGGTAAATTATAACTATATTGAACACTGAATGTCAATATTATATATTATACACACTTGAAACTTTTAATTGCTCCTAAAATCACTTACACACATTAACTCAAACAAAATTTTGATTTTTGAGTCCCAATTAGTCTAATGAGAATTATATTTCTATTACCTTCATGTCAGCAGATTTTGGATATATTTGACAGTTTTAAACCTTTGCTTAAAAGTAGATTACAATTGTAAGGGCTGTATTCATCACTGATAAATTAAAAAGGAGAATATGATTTCTGGTGAAGCTTTGAGAATTTTACTAAGTTCTTGATAGAGATGTTTTATGTATAAGTTTTGCTTTACAACATAAAATGGAAATATCAGATAGCATTAAACCTGGACAGATTAGTATATGACTCTCATTTTGTTATAGAACAATATTCTTAGTAAATAATGACATCAGAATACTGGTCATTATTTAACTATTCTCTGATGTATAGAAGTAAGCTTTTAACAATTATTTGTTTATAACTAAGCAAATAAAGAACCCATGACTAGAAACCTAAAGACCCTTAATGGAATTGACAGCCTCCCTTAATTTTTACCTCAACAATACAGTAGTATTGAGCAAAAAAATATCGATGGCAGTCAATATATTAGGTATAAGCCATAGGAAGGACAGTAACACATAGTGCTTATATGGAAAAGGAGATGAAACACAAGACAAAATACAACAATCTTGAAAGTCAAAATACACCCCTAAAGGGTGCATCTTCTGTTTTTAAGCAAATTATATGGAAACCACTATACATATATATGTGTATCCCCTAACTTCCTAAGCCCCTTCATACTCTTAAGGATTACCTTTATTTATAATTATCCTAATGATATCGAGCATTCCTAGAACAAATGTAAAATAGCTGATGTTCAAATTTTGCCTTAAAATGAAACATCTAATTGTAAATGGCAAAGTGAGACATTGTATTTGTAATAAAAATAACCACTCACATTGATGAATGCAACTAGTTATACCAAATCCTTACCTGCATGTGTACTTAAATACTTTGTGTGTGTGTGTGTGTGTGTGTGTACATATATTTTTATTTTTCTAAGGTACATTCTTTAGTCGGATTGTTGGGTAATATGGTAAGTGAATATTAATCTTTACTGAAAACTGCCAAAACTTTCTCCCAAGAAGCTATACCATTTTATATTCCAAGCAGCAATATGAGAGAATTTGAGTCTTTACTAGCACTTAATACTGTCGATCTTTGTATTCATGCTTTTCTAATAGATGTGCAGTGATATCTCAATACATTTTTAATTTTCAATTTCCTGATAACTGATGTTGAATTTTTTCTTTTACTGATTGGCTATTTATATCTTATTTTATAAAATTTATGGTTAAATATTTTGCCTAATTTTGTATTTTGGTCATATTTTATTATATAATACTATCATAACAGTATTCTAAATATAAATTCTTTGTAAGACATTTGTACTATATTTTCCATCAGTCTGTGATCTACCTTTTAATTTTCTTAATAGCATTATTTGAAGAGCAAAAGTTTTACATTTTGATGAAGTTGAATTTAACAGCTGAAGAAAAATTGGATAGCTATGTGGTAAATACATACTTCCGCATTTACTTCACACAATAGTGACATGAAAGGGGTTACAGGAGTAAACATAAATGCTAAAAGTTGTAAAATTTTTGAAAAACACATCAGCGAGACCTTGCATTATGCAAAGATGTATTAAGTCACAATCACACACAAATGAAAGCTTTAAAAATTTTAAATACTCATTAAATGTGGGAGAATGATTTGATATTTCAGTGATTGATGCTGACTTTTATTTTGTAATGATTATGTCATTGATGACCTGGTATTTATAATGAAAATGTAATTACTGATAAAGGCCAGATAATTCATTCTAAAACTATGACTTCATTAATACAAACAAAAGGTGGGAAATCCTAATTGATGTTGATCAAACTATTACAATAAAATCTCATCTCACGTGTAAGACAATTATTTCATCAAGTATCCCAAAACTTTGCCTTTAATTAGCAAATAGAATGACAATGAAGAAAAACAAAACAACTTGAACATCTGAAATCAGTTTCTTAAAAATGAAAGCAGTTCATCGCACTCTGTGCATGACTTCTCTAGCTCACACTCTTTGTTAACCTAAAAATATTAAAAACGATTTCCTTTTTGTTTATTTTTTACCTTGAAAGGCACTGGTTCTTCAGCAAGAGGGCTAACAGGAAGCGAGGTGGTGCTGCTTGCTGGGCTGATGTCTGAACTCTGAAAGGAAAGCACAACTGCGTAAAAGAAGGGCCTTTTTTAGTTACTTTTATTATTCCTAATTCAGAATATAAATCATATCATGATTATACAATGAATTCTTCCTTATATAGAAATAATTACCTGGGAAATTAGACTGTCACTTCTGTTCATATTTTAAGGGCATTTCATTAAATATGTTGGCAAGTTTTGGTATAAAAATGTTATGTAATAGTATCTTTGCTTAATTTGTATTTTTATATTTTCTTGGGAAATTAAACTACACATACTGATTCATTATACTGCTGTCTCAATCTTTCAAGATGATTTTCATAAATATGTATCTCATATTATTTTCTTTCTATTGGGAATTAAATAATTGCACCTATTTTTCATTATGTAAATGAATAATTTCTTCATTAATAACAAAAACTAAAGAAATACTAAAAATTTAAAATCCCTATACTCATAATAAACATTTTAAGAATTTTCCTGCATTTTGCTAAACAAAATATTTACACAAATACAATAAAGGTTGGAATGTTGCTAATGCTTTCTTGATCATTTAAAAATATAGCCAGTTAAGACTTCTCAAGTAAGACATAAGGGTTAATGGCTCATTTTTCATGTGTTTTATTAAAAGCAAGCAAAAGCTACCAATAAGTGATAGAAGAAAAAATTTCATTACATTCTAAATCATTTTGTCAAAGAAGTTCCTTGACTTTGGATAAACAAATAACTGAAGAACAAAGTGGGTCTATAATTTTCAGCTTTAACTGCAAATCTACATAAATAGAAAAATATAAAAACTGCAAAAAATTAAATTAAAAATGATTTACTCTTAAGGTATTGAGTAGACAACTTTGGCTGCTCTAAGTTAAAAAAAAAAAGGGATATATTCAACTGTAGTTGTTGAGCAAATGCTACAACAGCTCCAAAGACCTAAAGTTTCTTTATATTCAAATTTTAATTAATTTAATAGATCCATATTAAATATCCATTAAAATGGGATCACATCTGATTTTCTTATCTAGAGACCAATGATGAGGACTAAAGATAGAACCAAAATATTTACCATAGTTTTAATATAATACATATAATACATGCCAGATTTATTTTAGAAATTGCTATAAGTCCACATATTAAGTTAGAATGCCTATAAGAGGATTGTAGGTAAAAAGTGAATAATGTTTGTAATCTACAAATGGAATCAGGAAAACATATGTACCTCATAATTTAGGTGAGTTGGTTATTCCCCTTCATTTCTGAATTCATCCAGAGATTCTAGGCCAATTATTTCATCCAAATCAGAAAATTATATGAATCACTTTGTAGTGTTTAAATGAGAATAATTCCATTCTAAGACAGAAAGCCATCTCATGTAAGATGTGACTCCTAGGTGAACTGTGGGAATTTGCTTAGCAAAAGATAAAAGGCAAGGCCAGAAGGCTGGGAAAGGGGACCATAAAACTTGTAGAAAAGAAGAGACAGGATGTTCTGTATAGATAAGGGGAACACTCTACATTCCTGAGCGCACTGACCTCTCCCTGAACTAGTCCACTAGCCCCCTCCCCACCCCAAGATAAGTTTTCATCCAGCTCTCCCAAGTGCCCCAGAAACACCCGATAAGAAATAAGAAATAGAAAGTAGCACCAATGAGAAAAAAAGCATTTCAATCCTCCCAAGCCCTATAAATTAATGCTTTAGAAGGGGGTCGGGGTTCTCACTTCTGATTTGCTTAGTCGGTGAGGTACGAAGGTCCAGGCTCGAGCTTGCAATAAACTCCTTGCGCATTTACATTGAACTCGACTCCTTGGTGGTCTTTGGGGAATTCGAGATCCAGGCACAACAACTTACTCATTTGTGGGGGTACTGGGGATCAAACTCGCGGCCTTGCACTTGCACTTGCGAGGCAGGCAGTGGCAGCACTGAGCTAAATCCCCAGCCCTATGAATCACCTACTCTTACTGTATGATTACATGACACAACACAGAAATGAATCTTTTCTTCCTCATTTACTGCATTATTCTAATATAAGAAAGGATGGCAAGTTCTTGCAGAATCATAAAGTGTAATGGAAAACAAGACTCTCAAAGTGCTTTTCTCAGTGTGAGATTTCTCATGAGAATTTAGGCAACTGACAGAAGACAATTTGTATAAAGCTGAACTACTAGACATTTACCTATAGTATTGAAAGCAGACACAGTTTATTAAAGCATCACATTCTTTAAAATCATATATTCAGACAGCAGTGATGTTCAGTTGTGAAAATTTTAAAGAGTGGATCCCAATTCTTCAGTTAAAAGCTTTGAACTCCCATAAGATGATGAACTTTAAACTAAGTTTCATAGCAAATTTTTTTAAGGGTTTATGTCTCCCAGAACTTCCAAAGAAATTAGCATGTATAATTCTATTAATCCTTTGAATATCATTATTTGAGAAAACTTTGTTCTGGCTTTAACTTTCAAATTCATCTTATAGTGTGACACTTTAAGTACTGCTCTTAGAAAATCTTGAGGTGAAAGCTTTAAAAAAACAAATCAATCTCCCATGACAATATCTGATAAACTGCACTTAATTATCAACTTCAGAAAAACATTAAAAAAAATCAAATATAAGCATTTTCATTTTTATCTTATTGTTTTCCCATTTGCTTTTCAGTGATCTATAATTTAGGTGTCATTCCATTATTTTTGTCCTTTTAGATAAAATTATGGCAAGCCTGTTGGAAGTAATTCTTAGCCATAATTTATGTTTTAATTAGCATGCTCTTTCTTTCAAAAATACTAATACTGATACAATTATCTATCAAGATATGAATTGATGTACAACTTCTTAGGTTACTTTTTATATTTTTAAAACATTACTATGTTCACGTTTTATTTGTAAAATATTTTCTTCAAATTATCTTTTCATCTGCTTTTGTTACATTTCATAAGTTTTGAAAATGTTTGGTTCACAATAAGGTGAAAGTAAATCTCAAGGGAAAATAAAAGATGTACTGCATAATAGTAACAAATACCTCAACAGAACGAATCTCCTCAATTCTCATGTAACATACCGGGGCTTTGTTATCCACTGGACACTGCACGAGTTGCTCTTGGTTTGTTAACAGAAGTTAATCTGATTCCCGCCAAGGGTCCTTATCCTGCACCTTTGACTGTAAGTCCAATAGATAACCTGCTTCTTTGCAATACTAAAGTGAATAAATAATATGAATCTAACATTTTTCTCATGCACGTAATGTTATTTCACCCAGCTTACAGAGACTATTTCAGGTAGTTTGCAAACTCTTATTTTTCTGCAACTTGACTATAATGTTAACTATACTCTTTAAATTAAAAAAATAAAATTTAGACAAGTATTTAATTTTTACCATTTCAGAGATATTTTGATGAATATTACCCTCTTTTGATACTTGTGCTCCAGAATTATTTCTATTTGATTTGGACAACATATTTCCTTATTTGTTGTAGCTATTTTATTTACAACATTTTAAATTATTATATGTTTGCTTGCAGTAGCAAAATTATATTCATTGTGGGACACTTCTATGTGTACATAACACATCTTTCTTGTTTTATTTTCCCTTCTCTGTCATCTCTTGGTCCTCCATGACATTTGCAAATCTTTCTGCTTCCTATTATCTTTTCTATCTTTAAGTTACTTATACTTTTGACTTTTCATATGAGTAATTATGTGATATTTAAACTTATGTGTCTGACGTGTTTCACTTAACATCTGGTCTCAAGGAGTTGTTCGTTTTAGCCTACAGATTCTCTAGACCAACTGTCACCCAGAAAGACACGTGTGAAAGGCTTGGTGCTGAGCTGGAAGGTTCTAGAACCTCTTAGAGGTAGTGCGTAGTTGGAAGTCTTCCTGTCAAACTGACTGTGCCCTTAAAGGGGTTATTGGGACCGTGGACGTTCCTGTTTCTCTCCTTCACTTCCTTATTTCCATGATGTGTACAATTTCTCCCACCACACAGTCTCCCTAGGATATACTGCCTCTCCACAGCCCCAAAGCAATGAGGCTACTGCACATGGACTCAAGCTTCTAAGCTGTGATCCAACATAGAGTTTCTTCTTTCAAGTGCACTGTCTGGAGTATTTTCTCCTAGTAATTCAAAGCTTACTAGTACACAAAAATCTCATCCTTTGGCTCTAAATGTATGCAATTGTATTGATATATGTATGACAATATAATACAATACAACTTTTGAAAATGTACAGTTAAAAGAGTGTTGTGGAATACATTCACATTGTAAGACCACCTCAAAAATCAGGATACAGAATTTTTTATTTTCCCACAATGAATTCATTGTGGGAGAATAAAACAACAGAATTCATGCAATTCTGAATTCAGTCTCTCTCCATTCCTGACCTCAGGAAATACAGGGACTCTTTCCATAACTACATTTTATTTTTTCTTCTCTAAAATTTCATGTGGCAAATTTCAAATGAAAATCTACACAGGGTCTCTTTTCAGTTTGGCTTCTTTCACTCAGAAAAATAATTTTGAAATTCATTATCTTATATTTCTAAATATTTCAGTAGTCCATATTTTTTTCAGTGTTCCATAGTATTTCATGGTTGGCTCCAATTTGTATATCTAATCACCTGTGAATGGCATTTATGTGGCTTGCACTTTGAAAGTTGAAATTATTTATGAATAATGCCTTGCTGAATATTTGTGCATTTTTCTGGATGTGTATTTGTATTTTTTAGGAGAATATGTAACATTTGAAATTGCTGGGTCTTATGGCAAGTGTATATTCAGTATCATGTAAAATATTATAAGAAAGTGACAACTGTTTTCCGAAGGTTTTCAATAGTTTACATTTCTGTTTGCATTGCATTATAAGATTTATTTTCTTTTTTTCTTTGGCATTGCATGAATGTGTTGGGTCTGCTCATTGTTGTTTTATCATTTACTTCCATGGCTGACTAATGATGTGGAGCATCATTTCATAAGCCTCTTGGCCATTGATATATCTTGCTATGCAAGGCATACACTCAAAT